TACACCCTACACAACCTACACATTAATACTTTTGTAAAATTTATTATTCAAATGGCATTGACACAAAGATACTTGCAAACATAGACATTAACATAAATTTTGAACGAAGTTTCAACTTAAAAGCCTAAAGTCCAGATCTTTTTCAAGCGATGGCACGGGACGATTACTTCTATGCAGGACAACTAATCGCCATGAGTTTGGTCCATGGAGGACCATCTCCGACCTTCTTCGGGACCACATTGTATGATTCGCTGGCATACAACATCGAAAGCGTGACGCCTGCATTGGATGACGTACATGATGAAACTATCCGATCTTTGTTGGACAATGTAAGAGATTGAACAAGTTAACGTTAAAACTAATGCAAAAAAAATTACAAATACCAATGATGTCACTTTAATACAGTATTAACGATAATAGTAATAATGATAATGATGCTCAATATGATGTTGCTGGTGGTGGTGGTGGTGGTGATGCTGATGAAGATTGATTGATGATGATGTTGATGATAATAATGATGATTATTATGATGATGGTGATAAGCGCTATAAGCAAGATTCCGGTTCGTGCCGTAGTTTTTCTCATGGTTATGTCATTGACTATCTACATTTCCTACATATTTTTTACTCACTTGTTGAATTTCTTATACAAATGATAGGTATTAATAAAGGGTAGAGAGGTTGCACAACTGTTCTACAACACTTTATGTCTACGGGCAGGAATTTTAGTAACAAACGTATTACCCTAATGCTCCTTGTTCTTTGAATAAACTAATACCTCTTCCTAAATAGATCATGTCTGCTAATACTGTCGAGGAATTGCGACAAGTAATTGAAGAAGGAGAACATTTTTTCAGCTTAGCTGGAATAACTCAATACATCAGGGCTGTGGACGAGAAACAACAAGTGATGACTAGGGCGGTTAAATTTTACGTGCTTGATCGCACGCGCTCAGCGTACGAAAGGTATGTCCGCCAATCAAAACAGAATTTCTTAGCTTGCCAGTAGGTCTACATGTTTTTATATATTACAATGCGGTTTTAATAGCAATAACTGTGTAAGCGAGGCCAATTCTAGAAGCGAAACCAGAATTGCTCAAACAGGATGTAAAGGGGGGGGGGGAGGGGAACAATGGGAACAACTGTTTCAAAATAGGTGAGTAGCACAAAACATTGATATGATTGATATGCATTTAAATGTTTAAAATTTAGTGGTACAAAGTGGGGGGTGGGGAGGGGGAACACGTATCCCCTACTAAATCCGCCTTTGAATTTTTAGGGTGCCTGGGAAACTGAGCTATCTCTGAACCGAGTTTCCTCGTACGAAAAAACTCAGCCTATATAATATTTCTACTTCAAAATCATGTATCTGTAATTAATGATGATGATGACGTCAATGATGATAGTACATATTAAAATTAGGAGTTTATATTGCACCCTATTTTCAGTTTAAAATCTCACTATCATAGTCACAAATGATCCGCCATGAATAAACCCCGGTTTAAATTTGAAGCCCTTAATCAAAATATTGGTTATAAAAGTAAGCAAATAGATCAACGTTTAAACAAGAAACCATCTTTTGGTTAAAGATTTCGAATTGGCCTATTATGAGTTTTTATCTATCGGAAAATCAAATATCTTGCGTGCGGTTTCTTAAAGTAGAAAACTCAGACCAGAGATATGGGACATGTTTTCTAGACACCTAATTTCTTGTACTTATACTTCCGTTTCCTACAATCTTTGATGTTCAAACTATAATGAATATACTGTATTACGTATACTTCATAGGTTTCGCAAAGGAATTGAAACACTAGGTGTGTTAGCTGCAATGCAGAGCCAACCAATGTGCTGCCGAGAGGCATTCATAGCTGCCTCGGCTCCTAAACTAACTGCTGCCAAAATCAGAACGCTGTTTAAAACAAACTTTAGTGCCATTGGAAGCAACTGGCGAACAAAGGAGGACAGAACGGCAGCATTCTGGCTGGACTACTTGATGGATGCAGAAGGTATTAGTATATTGTTTGCTAATATTCGACAAACCAAGTGAAATCATAAACACCTTACTCTTCATATCATATAAAGTTATCATATTTTATATTTCATACAACATGTCTATTGTTTGCCCTTCCATGTAAAGTCGTTTAACACAAATACAACAGTCTAACTTCTTTTTTAAACTTGCCTTCCCTAATAATAGGCATATCAACCATCGTGGTTTTGGCTGCGGTGATAACATCTTCAAATAACAGAGCGTAAAAATACGTTTCAAAAGCAGCGTTGGTGCCACCGATGGTTGATAAACGGTGTCATTTAACAATCCCAAACAAATTATTGGTCGAGTTATATTGTGATTTCTCATCAAAATATTTAATAATATTATATTTATTTATCGTCATCATGTATACACGGCGCTTTTGTGTGTTTGGTTTAGATGATAGTAGATAGTAAAGTTAATGGTATTTAATGTAAAACGGTGCATAATACTAGCTCTCTATTCCCTTTCCAAAAATTGCAATACCTGGTAAAATTCATCCTATCCCTATTTCTAAGTATTAGTTCATAAATGGAAACGTACTGGAACTGCAATACTTGTCTAATAAGACATTAAATAGATCGTTACTTTGTCTAGCATCGCTATCCCCAGATCTGGGTATGCCACTGAGTTTACTCACTGCTAATTAATACAATGTTTTATTTTTTATTTAATCATATTCAGAAAATGAAGCACAGTGTAGCTGCGAAGATGTTCTTGCATTTGCAAGTGGGGCAACACAAATACCAATAACTGGCTTCGACAACCAACCGGAGCTGGAGTTTCTGAGGGACGACAGTAGATTCCCAACCGCCAACACGTGTAGTGTTATTCTTCGTTTGCCAACAAAACATGATACATACGACGACTTTAAGGAGGCAATGGATTTCGGGATATTAAACGCCCAGTCGTTTGGAATGGCATAATTAGGAATAATAAAAATGGCAATGACAATAACAATAATAATAATAATAATAATAATAATAATAATAATATTAATATTAATAATAAGGATAATAATAATTATATTATTAATAATTATAACAATAACAATAATATAATGATAATAATGATGCTAATAATAATAATAGTAGTAGTGAATAACAATAATCATATCATAATAATAAGAGTAATGATAACAAAAACAGTGACAATGACAATATTAATAGTAATGTTAATGATTACCACGATGATTTGATAATAAAAATAATAATATTATTAATAGTAATAATAATAATAATAATAATAATAATGATAATAATTAATAATAATCTTAATGACAATATTAATATTATAAACAATAATTATAACAATCGTAAACGATATCATAGGCCTACTGCTAAATAAACATGTTTTGTGAGACAAAGGTAAAACTGAATTCTTAGCTTTATACTTTCGTACTCTATTAGACTATATATATTTTTTGAACAACCAAAAAGTCGTTATTTTGTACATATTAATCAATATTATGTTTAGCAACCTCAAAATTAAAGTAAATTGCGCTTAAGTTGAAATTATTTTGTGTCAAACGTTTTGTCCATCTTCACACCCACGCGAAGTTGAAAGATAATATTTCTCATCTTGCTAAAGTTTTATTCAAATAATACTTTCAAAATGTTATTAGTTTGTAGTATAGTACATTTACAAAGATTATTTTTATATAAGTCTAGTATCTCAAAAGACATTTATTTCGTATACATTTTTGACCTGTTGAAGTGATTGCTTTGTGTTGTTGATGAGCGAGCAATGTCATTTGTATAAAATAAACTGATATAACTTTTATAATTAACTGTTATTTGCCGTTATTCGACTGAGCTATTTTGACTTGTACACTTATACCATGGAGTAATAAAATACAAACATACATTTTGTGCAAATACACTGACATACAGCAAATTATTTAAATGTCCCGCAGTGTGATCTGGCTTAAATTGAACCTGACACTGGCTGGGCATAAACAAGGATTTTCAGCACTGAGTGCGAAGTTAGCAAGGAGGATGGGACACATATATGTTCATAAATCCATGCACACACACACACACACATCACACGCACCCATACCGAGATAATTAACACTGTTAAATTATATATATATCACAGAAGCTAATTAGATAGAGTTTTGGATTAGGTCGCAGGTTCGAATCCTGTCAGAGTCATTTTGTTACACAATTTCTTTATTAAGTAATAGGACATATTTTTAGGAGCCATGATACACAATGTATTACCATGTCCCTTATTGGAACACTGTATTTATATATACACTGTATATATATAATACAATGTTGGAATGAGACATAAATAAATCGTGTAGCATAGCTCACGACGAATGTTGTCCTATATAACTACACTGTGTAATAAAATTCCTTCAACGCATTTTACAGTTTCTTTAATTCTGGACAATTTCACAAAATAACATGCAATCCTACAAAACGCTATTACAGTAGAACCACTCATTTACGTACGGCACGGGCCCAGAGTTGTTCGTAAATTCGGGTATTCGTAAAATCGGGGTTGACCCAAATTCCTATATATTTGCACTGGTACTACTTACACTGGCATAAACTAGGCCTAGGCTAGGCTTACAGGCTTACGCAGCTAAGTCTGAGGGGGCCTAGGCCTACAGTTGGCAGCTTCTAAGCATTCTGATCCCACTCTAGACCCTGCACAAATTTGTTTTTATCGGACATTTTTACCTTCTTAAATACCTAGATTGTGGATTTTATTCCAACACAACTTCCATAGATACTTGTTTATTATATATATTGATCATTCAATAAAACAATCAAGCACTATGTTGAATTTTAAAGCTGAAAACGATGTTTGAAAGAGAAGTAACATTTGTCGCATGCACATGTGTGAAGCCATAATAAAAAAACACCGATTTTGAAGAGGTCCGTTAGAGGGCCTCCTTCACTTGAGAATCACATAGTACTGTATAGTATGGTGTGTTGTGTTCGAGTGGGTTTTTTTTTTTTTTTTTAATCTTTCGCTTCAATTTTTATGACGTCACCACCTTTATATTACGTTCGTAAAATCGGGAATTCGTAAAATCGGGGTTCGTAAAATCGGGGTTCTACTGTATATGGTACCAAATGCTACTCAAGAGTACCAAACAGATTAAGAGCTATAATATATCTTTGCTGCAAGTCAGTTATGCCCTCCACAGCGACATGAAACTCATTCAACTGCTCGGGAAGAAGTTGTGGTACAACATCTAAGTTTCCTACCAAATTATTCTCATCTGCCAAGTCACCAAACGGTTCAGGGTGTAATCCTTGCTGCGTTAAAATTTCTGATAATGTCCTTTCAACTGTTTCGCCTTGAAAAACCGAATTAACTGCCCTTTTGTCTGAGCCAGCATTTGACAACATTCCGTCTATCCACTGTTGTTCAGGTGTACGCTGAGCCGCATCAGATGTCATTTTGTGCATGTTCCAGGCTTGTCTGAACAATTCAAGTCGGTTGTTAATGACTGGCACATACACAGCATGTAGTGCTTGCAGATGAGAGTGGTTCTCTACATCTAGTTGATCACTGTCAACTAGCCCGTAGAAAACATCCTTGAAAGTAATAAGTACCTAGGAAATAAAAAATAATTATATAAATGAATCAATCATGCAATACTTTAATCAGTGGTGGCGCCAGGACCTGCCGGAAGGAGGTACTAAAGGCCCCGGGGGGGGGGGGGAAGCCACAAATATTTGATGAATTATGGCAAATTTTTAATACTTATTTGATAGGCATCGAGTTACTATAATATGACTTCATTTAGAATATGACTTCATGTAGGCTATGCTTTTTAATATTGAAATCATCTTCAAAACCAAAACATTTTGAACAAAGCAAGAAACAAAGAGTATGCAATGTAACCATCTAATTTATTTTCAAATCCTCATTCTTGAAAGTGAAATTCTATGGTATATTTTGGAAATTTTGCATGAAATCTGTCAACCATGTTGTCATGGTTGAGGTTGCTTCACCTATCACGATGTATTCCAACCATCATGAGGCTATCTAAATGAGCATTTGTCATAACAGAACGCAAATTATTTTTAATAAGTCTCATTGAATAATTATTATTATCATTATTATTATTGTTGTTGTTGTTGTGATGAAAAGTTAACACAAACAATATGGTGGCTAAACGAATATTACATGTATATATTTTTTTTTATTTGTTTGTTCCCCGAAAAAATTTATCGCCAGCCCCCCCCCCCCTGGCGCCACCACTGACATTAAATTCACTGTGAACTGTATTATGAAATGCTTTTGGTAATAAAAAAAAATTGTTAAATCAGAACTAGGATAAGAGTGTAGTGTTCTGTTGTTAATCAAAAGCATAGTCGAATCACTTGTTTCCAGTGGGGTCCTTCTGGTGGTGAATTGGAAACAATCCTCACTCTTTTATGAAGAGTGTACTATGTACTTTAACATGGAAATGGGCTATAATGTACCTGGAACAAACAGCCTAAACACCTCATCCAAAAGACGGTGTCTATTGGAACCTGTAATTCAGCTGAAACACAGGAGAGCTGTGATGGAAAAGGAACTAGAGATCTCTCAGTTCAGCAGTTGGCTACCACCAGTTCTGCCGACTGTCGATTATGAAAATGTATAAACTCTAGTTGCGATGAGTTGCACAACGAGAGTGCAAGTCGTTGAAGTTAAGTAACAATTCAAAACCTCTATGGAGGGGCCAAGGAATCGAAGCCCAAGAAGCAACTACTGTAATGAATCAAATGCATGTCGGTTAAAATGTTAGTGAACTACACAAATGCTACAAATTACAGTATACTGTAGCCTACCTGTGTATGTACATCCCTCCAAAAACGTTCAATACGCTGATTGTGAACTGACCGTCCTGTTATATGGCTGCCTCTTTGATTTCCCCTCACCATATTCATAAAAAGTGCCACATGTAGGTTTTCGAGGCCATGGTCAGATCTCACTCTTGATGGAATACCATACACAGACGTCGCTCTGACAAACATTTCAAACACAGTTGAGGCTCTGTTGTTGTTTTCACATCGAAGGTATGGAACAAGATGTGATGATCCATCTATACAACCATGGACTACCATGCCAAAGCTAATAAAATAAAAGAAAAAATAAATAATTAACTGGCAGTTTATATTTGAACCGATAACAAATTGTGATTACGTATCTAATGCCCGTATTCTTAAAACAAACTTTAGTCGAACTTTGAACTAGAACTTCATTTAGTGCTAGTTGCATCTTTAACTTTAATTTGTATTCACAAACAATGTAGTCGAAGTTTTAACTACGATTAAATCAAGTCCTAGTTTTAGTTCAACTGAAAACGACTGGCAAGCCACGACTATCAAACTAACCAATGAAAAGGGCTAACTTTAATAGCAGACGAAATTTTATAGATCCGGCTTATCTATTAGAAACTAAGATATCTCTATTTAAAACTAAGATATCTCTATTTAAAACTAAGATATCTCTATTAATAGAGATATCTTAGTTTTAAATAGAGATATCTTAGTTTTAAATAGAGATATCTTAGTTTTAAATATAGATATCTTAGTTTTAAATAGAGATATCTTAGTTTTAAATAGAGATATCTCTATTAATAGAGATATCTCTATTAAAAACTAAGATATCTCTAATAAAAACTAAGATATCTCTATTAAAAACTAAGATATCTCTATTTAAAACTAAGATATCTCTATTTACGATTAAATGACAACTCGGCTCGCCATATAGCAGAGTTCCGCACGAGTGATTCAGCCCACATCTTTATTATATGTCTGAGTTATATACGCATGAATGGTTTTATGGACCTTCTCGTTACTTTTTTCTACCCCACATCTTTATATCTAATTTTGCTGAGAGTTCCGCTTGAACAATTTCGTGGACATTTTGGTATTTGCGCATGGCATGCTTCCATTGCAGGGTTTATAATGTATTGAAAGGCAAAATCTAGGAATAGAAGCCAGCAAGCTTACTCTCCGGAGGTTTAGAAGTTATTTTCTTTTTTCTTTTTATATTATTTTGCTTTTTAACTGCGCTGCTGGCACCTAGCTATTGTAGTCTTGCTTGATTGTGTATTGCCTTTTTTTTCTATCTTAAAATAAATGAATGATTGTTAGATAGGATATTTTATATGAAAGAATAGTGGTGGTGGTGCTGTTCTTTATATTTGAAAACAGAGACCTGCATATGAAAAATGAAAACTCAAAAGAGAACCATTTATATATTACGCATAAGTCGAAAAAAGGCCAAAGCAATGCTCTAATCAAAGTTTTATAGTAGTTGGGCAGACGGGGCACCAAAGTGGCAAAAAATTATTTACAAAGCGATTTTTGTTGGAAACTGTTGATACCGACCTGGAATACCACCAAAAAGGTTGGATGGATTTCGGCCATGGGAAAATTTTTTTATGACCTTTTACCTAAAAAGGGTAATTCTATATATAGTAGCAAGGTGGTGGGGGTAGAATATATACGGTAGCCATATCTTATCCTAAACCCATAATACATGCATTTTTAAGTATAAAATATCATTGTTCAGTACCACTACATTTTTTTTTATCAAGGGTTATGCAAACATATCATTAATGATGTCATAAACGGTCAAAGGTCATTGCAACAAATTGGCCCATCCCTTAAAGCAATGGATTATGTA